CTAGTGCATATAAGCTTGCTAATATGGATATTTTTTTCATTCCTGATGATGACATAATTAATGTCGAAATATTGAATCCCGACACGATGGCGTGTATTTCAATACTTGGAGTATGTATTATACTTTCTTATCTGAGATTAATCAGTGGACCTTTCCATTAGTATTAGCATGGTAACATCAATGTATTTCAAAAATTAGACATGCGACGTTCTCTCAGAAGTTTTTTTGTTTTAGTTGTTTTGTAGACGTTTATTTGTGGATGACCTTTTGACCCCCTGAATTCTGATGAGATTTTCGGGTCGATTCAGTCGAGACGGCCCGAGTGGAGTTTCATGTAAATGTTTCGTACGGAAAAAAAATCGCCAATCGTTCAGTTGGTTTCGAAGCTGTGGCAATCTGACACTCAACACATTTCTTGACGGTATTTTCAGACAATATGACCATTTTCGAAAACCATACCTTATCGCGTAGTAAAAACTTAGTTTTCACGATACCATGATGACCCTCGTGCGCTAATGCAACAACTCGATCTGTAAGCGGTTGTGGAATAACGATTCTATGACCACATAATATTATATCATTGACAAGTGTTAATTCGTCGTGAATTGCAGCGAAACTCTTCACTTTGTCATCAGTCCATGCACTGACTGTGTCAGTATAGCTTGTTTGACTGCTTGACGTTATCTGTATTTGTCACTTTCACTATATCATCGAGGTATAATGCTATTGGCATAGACGCATTAAATGGATACAGCCTGACGGTCAACTGAACGGCTTATCAATGTTATTAATATCATTTGCCTCTACATATCTAGACACATAGTCAGCAGGATTTTCCATTCCAAACAAAGTCTCCAATTCTCGATTCTGGTCGATGCTTCTGATCTCGCCTTAATGAATATTGTCAACAGATTTTTATAATCTGTGGCAATTGTGAACCAAGCACATACATACAAAAATGTCGACACTCCCATCCATGCAATCACCAAAGCTTTGCGTTCAATTTGCGAATAACGCATTTCCACTTCAGGCTAGGTTTTTGCCATATGCAACAACGTGAGGTTCTTGCGTCCACTAAGCACGGCACCTAATGCACGTGGACATGCATCAACAAATACAGTTGTGGTATTATTATTTTAATCGGAATAAGACATAAGTGTCTGTTAATCGAACTTTCAACTCATCTAACACTTTCTGCTGAGCTTCTCCTCACTCAAATACAACATTTGTTTTTCTTTATGCTTTAACACAGGTGCAACTAACTCTGCATACCCTGACAAGAAACGAGAAACAAAGTTCCTCATGCCTAGCAGACTACGGTATTCACTCGCACTCTCCGGTGATTTTGCACACTGAATACTTTGACCTTGTTGGGATCGGGTGTGATACCATTTTCACACACCATTCCAAATAATTCAAGGTTATTCATGTAAAATTCACATTTTTTTTTTGTTCAAAGTTAAGTTCAAACTTTCGAATTTCTTTGTCCGATGCTACATTGTGACTCGCCATATCTTTGTCATACACAACTATGTCATCACTACTGTTATTTACATTCTAAATATCAGCTATTGTGGACGCTATCACATTTTGAAACTTCTCTGCCGCTGCATTTATTTCAAAGCCTATTCTGTTAAACCTGTACAAGCCTTTGTGGATCGAGAATGTTTGATGTATCGCGATGATCCATTAAATAAGAGGTAATGATACCCATGATTCAAATCAATCTTGTTGAAGGCGGTCGCACCATTTAAGTCGTGTATTACTTCATCAATAGCGGGCATCAGATATCTTTCGCGGGAAATAGCCATGTTCTATTCATATCTTCCGCATATCTACACACAAGGATAGGCCCAAACCTCCATTCTTGACGCTTCAATGGCAGGAGGTAATGACCAGTCATAATTTTAAAAATATATGAACTTTGACTTTGTATAATAACTTTTACTGTACATCAGTCTATTCTACTATCTAAAATCCTCAATTTTAAATGTTTTGATTGAATTTAAAATATTTTGTGCAAAAATTATTAAACAAAATTTATAATTCATAATTTTATTTAAATCAAATAAGAGAATGAGGGGTAACAAAGGGAAGGTCCCTATAAAAACTACATATCAGAATAACATAACAATTCAGTAATTAAAAAAATATTCAGTAAGCAGAAAATCAATAGGCCAACGTTATTAATACAGTAATTATCAATAATAAAAATAATTAAATAAATGAAGAAAATTATTTGATTAATAAAAAATATATAAATAACTACGCAAAAAAGAATAAGTTCATAAATAAGCAAGACATAAATAAGCAAAAATGTAAATAAAAGATGCAAGTGGAGTAACGCAGGTGGTCGATGGCCGTTTTAAAAGAAGAGACGGGGGAGGATAAGCGCGTAGCAATTGGAAGTCTGTTCCAGATGATTGGAATATGATAAAAGAGTGAAAAGTGGTAAGTGTAGGATGAGGTAAACGTGTATTAAATGAATACCTAAGTGAATCAATTTTAATATCATTATTAATTTTGTATAAGAAAATAAAGCAAAGAAAAATTAAATTTTGTTCTATTGCTTTTAGTACGGTAGTAGGTTATCAAGTGTGTATTTATATTCAATATACTGAGGGTTGTCGGGATATCTACCAGAGTTGATTGATTCAGTTTGTGAAATGTTAGTTTAAAGATGTGGATTCCAGAATCCCGAGGAGCATTCTACGTACGAGTGAGTTAAATAAAACTAAAGAAAACGGGTGCGATTGCATTTACGTTTTATAAAGTAAAGAGTTTCTGAAGCTTTTGAGGTAATATTGTTTTGAATATGATTATGCCATTTCAAATTGGCGGAGAGAGTGACCCAAAGATATTTATGGGAAGAGACACATGATAAAAAAGAGTTATTAATAAAATAGCTTGGGTGTATGACATTGCGTCTAGTTATACACATAACCTTGCATTTGTCTTCTTTTAAAATCTTTTTTTTTTCTGGTTACTCCAATCCATTTTTTTTTCGAGATATGTATAAAAGAATCATGGGGTGGGGGTTATAAATGATCTGTAAAAAAAAAAAAGGTGTCGTCAGCATAAAGACACATAGATGTACCTGGTGATAATTGAGACATTGTATAAATAACAGAAACAAAAGAAGACCTAAAATTGAATCTGGTGGCACACCAGAAGGAACTCGGACAAAATCAGGGACGCATCTCTGTTAAAGCGTACATATTGGGTGCGGTAATAAAGAAAACTTTTGATCCAATGCCATGTTTGCTCACAAACGTCGACTTAGTGTGATTTACGCATAAGGGTACTGTGAGATACGTGGTCGAACTCTTTACTCCAGTCAAGAAATATAGAGTAAATATCAAATGGTTTAGGGTCATCAAGTACCTTAGCCAAGACCTAGGACAACAGGCCTGACATGAATATCCTTTACGAAAGCCAAACTGATAACATGATAAAATGGAGTTGTGTTCAAAAAGGGTGTATAAATGATTAAAAATTAAACGTTCAATTGTCTTGGACAATATGGAGGTAAGTGCATAGCACAGTACATTTTAATGTCACTTCTGTCGCAAAATTTCTTATAAATTGATAAATACATGCAACCTTCTAGGATAAAGAGACTTTTCCCAAGGATCATATTTTAAAAATCAACTAAAAGATAGAAAATAACATATACGATGGGTTTAAGCAGTTTTGATTGCATACAATCTAACCAGGGTGAACTATAGTTCTTAAGTTTTATAATCACATTGTGAACTGATTCTGGTATAATGAAAAAATGTTAATATATATCGAGAACTGCATTGACAAGTGACCTGTTTAAAGAGGTACCGTACTCAACAGAACATTTGTCAACTAAAATAGGGTCAGTACATAACAAAGGATCCAAGATATTTCCAGTTTAACCGGTATGAGAAGCAACTGAGGATAAGTGAGTCAGAGTTTTGAGTAATTGCTGAAAGCCTAAATTATGAAAGTTATCTATTTTAATACGAGCAGAAACATTGAAAAAGCTATTGTTAACCTCGTTTCAATTAACTGCACTTAAATCAAAATAGAAAATGATAATGATACAATCATACTTATAAATACTGTTGCTAACCTAATAACTTGATGCGGAAATCTCTTCTGACACATCCTCATTTGCTGAGGGTGTCTATAACAACTTCCAATTAGAAGATATGTCTCTCTTGACAGATTACTGACACCCAAAATAATTTTGGCATTAACATTGGAATTATAAGGCATAATTGTAGGTTGAAGGTGATCTTTAATTGCAATTGCAACACGACCTCCTTTGGATTCCCGATCTTTATGAAAAATAGTATAGTAATTTGGGAATATTTCTGAGCTATTCCATTGTTAAGCCATGTCTCGGACAATGCAATGGTATCGGGAGATATAGCCTCCAATACAATTTCAACTTCTTTCAATTTATTAAAATTCTATCATCAAAACTAGGCTAGTGGGTATGTTAGGGTATTGACCGAAAAGCAATACTAGACCTATGCCTCAGTAAATAGTAACATTTTGTATCTGTGTATAAAAAAATACATCAAACTGGTCTTACCTTGTTCAGTTTCATCCTAAGAGATGGAGATTATACACATCCTGTAAATAACCGTTAACAAACTGCTCTGTAGAAAAATGATACTGGTATTTATATATTCGATGTTGGGAATCTGAACGCCTGGTAGAAATTGACATAATAGGCCTTTTTCACGCTGCGGTAGATCGATGACAAACAATGCTGAGCAGTGAAGCGTAACCAACAAAAATAACAGCGTTTCGGTCATATTTTTGGAGATCATGTTACTCAAAAAATCATATATACTTAACGGAGGGTCGTGTCAACATAGTTTTTTCTTTAAAAGAATATATCTACGTACTGTATGAATAAAACAAAATTGAAAATTTGTTTAGTCTGTCAAAACTTATCTTATTTTTGTTTGTTACGCACCACTGACTTAGGCTGTTTGTCATCACTTCAAGATGTCTACCGATTCGTGGAAAAGGCGTATTAAAATCAAAATATTGGCGTTTGTGAGCAATACATTTTAATTTTATATAGGTAAGTAGTAAGTATATGAATAATTTTAATGCACTAGTTAGTTGATAACTTCATTCTAATTTGTTTTGGGTCTTTTTTCTACATTTTTATAAGCGGTTAGACATGGCCAAGGCCGGGCCTAGGCTAGCCTATATGATGTTCATTGTAATACTATAAAACAAAATCACACCAATTTAAAATCAAATTTGTAGACATACTTGCCTTATATCTTAACTTGCAGGTAGATCGTAGATTAGTTTGTTTTTAAGTGTGTAAGTATGACTGGAAAATCAAAGTACACTTTTTCCTTGCCACTGTTGAGTCAATATTGCTCTATGGATCAGCTACATGGACCCTGACTAAAAGCTACGCATGGCCGTAAATGTTTCTTGGAAGGCTCATCTAACAAACGAGCAACTGTATCAAAACATCTCTCTCGTCTCTGAAAAAGTGAGGCAAAAAAGAATGCAACTTCTTGCACACAGTGCTATGGCAACGTCTGGATGGATATAAGAATAGAGGTTGAAAGAAAACCACTTTCATAGACATACTTAAGCAAGACACAGGGATGAAAAATGTGAAAGAGCTTCAAAATTGTATGATGAATAGAAACATCTGGAATGAGCACGTGCAGGCATCAGTGCGACCTGGCGGTCGGCGAAGGTAGGGTAAGGTATTAATGTGCACAGTGATAGGTCAAATCCATAACCATGAAACGTACACACAAGTCACCGATATTCGTGCATTATTGAAGTATAATTATTATGCAATTAAAACTAAAGTTTGTACAAAATTTCCAGTCATTTTAGAATTGCTTGCTTTAATATTCGATAATTCCCTTCACTGATTTATCAACAACCCTCTAATTAAATTTCTAATAAAATCGACTAGCTACAAACAAACTTTTTATATATTGATTATACTGTTTACTTAAAAAAGATAAATCATGATAAAGATGCTGATGAGGATGATTAGGATGTTGATGATGAGGTAGAAGGATGAAGAGGATAGGGATAATGGTAAGAAGAATGAAGATAATGAGGTAGATTATAATTAGGAGGATGATAATGATTGATGACGAAGAAGACGATTATGATAATTATGATTATAATGACTAGGATGATGAGGTTGATGATAATGAGCATAAGTTTGACTATAATAATAAATAATAATAATAATTATTATGATTATTATTGTTATTATTTTTTATTATTATTGTCATCATCATCATTATTATCATTATATTATTATTATTATTATTAATATTAATAATAATAATATTTGTTGATGACGATGATGGGGATACTCTGATGACGATGATTGATAAGGATATTGTAAATTATCTTCCTCACTCATCCTCGTTTTTATCTCCATTCTCGCCTTATCCTCATAATCCTAGTAGCCAGACCAGATTTTGTATGCACTTTGAGGTCCAGAGAATTTGACTTCAGAAATTGGTTTAGGGTGGTCGAAGAATCATTTTTGGCTTGGTAACACATTTTCAAAATTTGGGAACGGTCAAAATGTCAGGGTCAAAATGACCGGAAATGCTGTTTTTGACCTTTAACATGTTTCAAATTTCATAGTTATTGAGTCCTTATTATCTCCACAACCACTGGTGGTAGAGAGTTAATTTTGGTACCAATTTTTTCGAAATACTCATGTTTTTATTTCCTGTAATAGAACATTTTACTAAAATACGACCGGAAAAGCCGTTTCATACCTTTGGCATGTTTGAAGGTCATAGCCATAGAATCTTCATATCTCCACAACCACTGACAGTAGAGAGTTAGTTATGGTTTCAATTTGTTAGGAACATTCATGTTTCTATTTGGTGTAACAGAACAGTTTGCTAAAAAAAAATTACCGGAAATGCCATTCTGAACTTTGACATGTTTCAATGCATATATTCCTATCCCTATACATACTTATTGTAGAGACTTCATTCATCTCAAATTATTCATTTACACATGTTTCTGTTTACTTGATTTGAACCTGGATTGGAGCCAAATATGTCGATACTGACCATTTACCCATGTTGCAAGGCATTTATCACATGCGGCTGGTGTTGACAAAATATCTTTGCAACCAGTGTTCACAAGGAGTTGCCTTTTGTGTAAAACTCCTTAAAATGTATATAATATATATGTATATATATACATATGTATATATATATAATATATACATATGTATATAGATATACAGTATTCTCCCTAGATATATATTTATATATATATATATATGTATATATATATATATTTATATGTATAATATAATATATATTAGTATAATAATATAATATATATTATGTATGTATATATAAATATATGTATATATATATGTAAATATATATGTACATTTGTGTTCTTAGCAGAAACTTGACAATATATATATATACATATATATGCTGTCTCTTATACACATCTAGATGTGTATAAGAGACAGATATCACATTGATCCCTGTTTTACGCGTCTGTGCCACCCAACACGATCCTGCATGGCATATGAATATCATTATTAAATTAGTGCCTACATCTAGTACTTACAGACATGAAATGCCTATTTCATTTAATTGATTATATTATTAAGATAATATATTAGCAGTATAGTAGCAAAGATACTAGTAAAACTAGCCTTATTTAACAACATTGTGCCCCTCCCCTCTCTTTTACAAAAAAAAAGCTGGATAGCCCTTGAATGTTAGTGCTCTGTATATATCACCTGTTAGATCTGTACATGGATGTATCTACATGGTCTGTCTGAGTGTAATCGGTGTAAGGTCTACCAGAAAAAAACACAGGATTTAATTACAGCATTTTAACAATTCAAATGATAGTATAACTGACCTGGAGCGTGATAAATAATTGATTATGCTTCAGACTGAATTTGGTAAGTGTAAATTAAATTGTACGAGCAGTAAGTTTGTCGAAACTCGACGATATTTGTGTAGGCATAGGAGGCCTACTGTATTTCCATAGATAATTCATAGCATACTCTATCATGTGCATTCATAGAACATGTTCTAGGCCTATTTAATTAATTGATAAAATAAAATAAAAATAATCATAATAACAATAACAATGAGACTAAACTACTCCTATTCCTTAAACTAATTAATGGTTGGCCGTTGACTCCGAGGAGCTCATCCGCCCTTTGTTCAGCTATTGGTTTGTCTTGCTGCTGGGTGACCATAAACATCCTCCCCTCAGCAGCCACTAAGACATTTGAGAGGGTTGTCAGTTTAGTCGCCGACGCTTCGACCGGATGGAGTTTAATGTCGTACCCAGGACGTCCCTAACTACCTTAAGCTATGCTTAACTACTCTTAAATACAGTAT